ATCGTCGTCATCATCATCATCATCATCGCCATTCCACTGGAGCCATTCTGTTTCGCAGACAAAGCGAAAGTTACAAAAGCAGCAAACAAATTGCCTTTTGTTTATATGCTTAACAAATGTGAAACATTACGAAATACCATCGACAGATCGACCACATATATATTCATCTACACATACATTCATCTACACATAGATAACTATATATGTACATATATATTAATAGTACACTTGAGCTGTCAGATTTCTGAAATACTTTTGCGTTTCATTATTTTTGTTTTTAGAATATTTTCTGACTGTTGGCCTCGATGGAATCGTATGGATGCATATGGACGGCAAAGGTCCTGGGTAGATCTAGAATAGTCAATTCTTGACTGGCAATATCGTGGTCCGATAAGAATACATCATATTCGTATTTGAATTTTACTTATGCATTGTTCGCGCTATAGCCGAAGGTTAGGAATTTATTATGGGATTACAGATGAATATTAATGGTGGATATGTTCGAGCCGTCCTGTTGTTAATCTCCATCTTTCGGATATGGATGCTGAGCTATTTTCCAATAGCCACGTTAGTCCATGCACATGCACTGAATCAAGACACTTTATCAAGTAAATTTTTATCCATATTCAACTGCCATTTTATATGAATTCTTTTTGCCGCCTCTATGACTTCATTTCGCATAGCAGCTGCAAACGAGTTATGGAAGCCCTAATTTAAGAGAGAGAAAACGAGACAGAAGCTTGTTTGCTTGCTTCATACACTGAGAACACACACTTGTTGTTGCTCGGTCTTGCTCACTCCAACTTGCTTAGTTTCTGCGTGTCTCCTGTTTTGTTTTGATTCTCGATTCTTTGCTTTCGCCGGCTTAGCTGAAGCAAGTCACTACTGAGCGAACGAGAGAGGCAGAGCATAATTTTACGTTCACAGCTCACACACACACACACACCACACAGTTAATGTGGACTTTTCGTTCACTCACTCGGTCGCTCTCTCACTTGAACTTGAAATTTGAAGAGAAAGCAAAATGAAGTGAGCTTTGTTTGCTTCGTTTTCATTTTGTTTACGTTTCAGCTTTGCTTTGATTTGATTTAATTCGATTTTTTATTTGCAAAGTTTATATGCATATATGTTTGGCAGTGTTTGCTTTGCAAATCAATAAATCACGCTCCGAAAATATATAACTTAAAAATAATCATTGCGTAGCCAATGAAATTATGATCATTTTATAAATTATGCTAATTTCAAAAACTTTTACACTTACACACATATATATTCCATGATTTAGTTTTAATAGTATGTATGAATGAAGAATCAAGCACGTTTGACTAGGCGCACATGCAGACCTCCTTTTGGCAGCAGGACGGGAGCCGGATCAAAGCGAAATTTGACCTCCTTGCGTGGCGCGTGAACCAAATCGAAATTGAGTAAGACTTTGGCCACAGCCACCTTGGCATTGACCTTGCCTATGCGTATTGCTGGAACAGAGAAGAAATATAGGCGGATATATAGGGATAATGAAAAAGAAACGAACCGATGCAATGTCTGGGACCCTCGCCAAAAGGCATAAAAGCAGTTGGATTGTAGTTCATATTATCGGCACCAAAGCGATGCGGATCATAGTCCATGGGATTGGGAAAGTATTTGGCATCGCGATGCAGGCCAAAAAGTGAAATCAATATGCCTGTGCCCCGTTTTATGGTGTAATTCAAATCCGGCACCAGAAAGTCCTGAGTGCACTCTCGATTGAGAAAGGGCAGACCCGGATATTTACGGATAGTTTCTGTTTGCATAGAGAAGGATAAATACTAGTAATATTTATAAATATATCAAAAATACCCACCCATAATACATTGATCCAAGAATTTCAGATCCTGCACCGCCTCATAGGTAAACTTATCTCCTCTCTTCAATTGATGTCGCTCCATAACCGCGTCCAATTCATCGCGTGCCTCCTTTAGTAGTTCCGGATACATGGCCAGCTCGTAGAGCGTAAAGGCTGATGTAGCCGCCGTAGTCTCCGAGCCGGCGATATAGAAGAGAAAACCTTGAGCGGTTATCTTATCAATGGACATGGATTTCAGTTCCTCCCGTGCGGTTTCAACGTCCCACACGTCGTCGTCTCCAATCTTGCCTGTATTGCGTAGCCGTATAAGCAACTGCAGCAGATCCTTGCGTACTACATTCTTCTTCTCCCGGAACTCGACCGTACGTTTCATAATATCGCGCAACTTAGCCAAAACCTTATTCTCAAAGCCCATGCGATTCATAAGTTTCGCTAGTCTGTGGATATAAAGAGTTAATCAGAGATAGATCGGGAGATGATCTTGACTCAAACACTCACGGAGGAAATATAATAGTGGCCATGTTGTGAATCCTAACCACAAGTCCGATGTCTGATAGAAGTGAATCGCTTATAGCACGAAATTCGTTCTTCGGATCGATAAAACTATTGATATCCAGTCCGAAGATCACCGATCCGATAATGTCCACGGCGTAGGTTGTAAGTATAGCCTTCATTTCAATGGATTCATTTGGAGCCTTGTCCACTATGCCCTGTAAATGTTGTACCAGTCGATCGCCCACATCGTCGATCGTGCTAAACATACCCTTGATCTCTCCCGAGGAAAAGGAGGGCGTCAGCTTCTGGCGCAAGTTGCGCCATGAGGCGCCTTGCAAGTTGAATAGATTAGCCGACAGAGGATCGTGCTCCTCGTCCACATACATGCCACGATCATGAAAGCTGGCGAAATCGCTGGTCATGATCTGCCTGGCCAGGTGAGGATCACGGACCAGCAGCACGGGCTTGTACATGACATAGAGTCCCACAATCTTAGAATTGTGACGTTTGTAGATATCGCTTACGATCAAACCAAAGCCCTTTTGCCTCTTCATTAATTTGAGCATAACGCCAAATGGAAATGTGGCTGGCTCCTCATTCACGCCTTCACGCTGCCAATAACTGTAAATGCGTCTTACATATTGCATAAGCAAGGCCAGCAAAATGATCACCAAAAGAACTAAATATATAACGAAGCCGCTTCCAGCCTACCTTGACGAAATATGCAAGCATACTGAAAGCTATCGCTTGTTCCAGTCAAGAATGCAATTTGCTTGTAAGTGTAATTAAAGAATTCCAGCTGGAGAGCATCTAGAAAAGCTTTCTAGCGATAAACATTGCTTTGCTAGCAATCAGCTGGAAGACTCTCATGTGTGCGGATTTGCTTTAGTATTTGTATTGACGCTGAAATGCAATGAGAGCGATTAAAGTGGAATCTGTGAGCGAGCTTTGACTTTCATTAGCTCAAAACATATAAGGTTAAAGCTTGAAAGCTTTAAGCCTTACACTTTGCTTCGACAAGCACAGAAATTTGAATATTTATATGCTTCTATATGTTCTTTGAACTAGTTAAGGTTTTGCTTGGGACTACTTAAGAAAACATATAGTTTCTGCTCTACTTTTTTACCTATTTTATTATAGAGTTTTCAGTCATAATATAGTTCATATTTTTATTTAAATAGATGATATTTTTACTATGAAAATGAACCTCGAACTAGTTTTTTGTGAGTGCTGCACGCTGTTTGCCTAGCTTCTTTTCATCAAGTTGTTCCTTCTCGACCTTGCGGAAGCGCTGCCAACGTCCATAGTCCTCCACCTCGGAGCGCTGCATGCGGAACAGAGCGCGCTTATACCAGCTGAGAGTTATGTGGCGGCCAATGAAGCAGCCGCAGGAGCTGCAATAGTGATTGATGTCCTGCCTACCACTCCAGCGAATGGGATTACTAAAAGGGAAGTATAAAATATATTAATTAGAGGAGGAGTATAGATGAATTATATGCTCACCAGCAGAGCACTTTATTTAAACTGCAGGTGATCTTTTGCAGGCAGGTGACGGCTCGTATGCCACCTGACTTGTTTGCAGCTGCTGGCAGGCGGGACAAACAAACTCAAGTGGCTCAGTGGGCAGGTGACCCACCTGTGGCACCTCAGAGATGCCATTGAAATCAGAGGCGCTGCCGTCCAGGCTCTCAGTGCTTTCCATTTGATGACAACGACGAACGTAGAGCAACTAAAAGCTGACCAAAGAAATTGCCAAAGGCGATCAAATCTAAGTGAGAGGAGAGAGAAGAGCGGAAGAGAGAGAAATATAGAGAGAGAGACAGACAGAGAGTCGGTGTTCTCTTAAGTGGAGGCGTTGATGGAAATATGCGTGATAATGACAAAAAAAATTGTTGAAAATTGGCAACAGCTGCACGAATGTGTTTTATTTTTTCTTTATTATTATTTATAGAGCGTTTGCAAAATGTGTGGCGAAAACTTAATAAATTAAAACTAAATGGGACGCCAGTGGAAGCCCAGATGTCCGCCGCAGCTGCTGCAAAAGACACGCTTGCTCTTCAGGCGGCTCTGCAGGCAGGTATAGACGCAGCTCAGCGCAAAGATGGGAAAACAGCTGGAAGGCAACAGCAGAGCCATGAATACGGTATGTCTGTACATAAAATTGCAAAGCTACCCACCAGGACAGGGCGGAGAGCAGGCAACTCAGCTGACCCAAAGCTCCAGCCATTTGTACTGTCTCGGAGCGTGAGCGATGATGGCAGAGCGGACAGAGCACGCGATAGGTGCTAGGGCCAACGCTATAAAAGCGCAACTGTGGCTTGCCTGGAAGCTCTTCCTGCAATTCCAACTGTTCCAGTGTGGCTGTGGCAGAGGACACATTGTCCAGCTGCAGCTCGGCTGCCTTCGAAGCGCTTGACATTGCGACTGTGAGCAGCAACAGGCAGCATACGATTAGCCCAAAACAGAAAAGATGAGAGAGACACCGCAAACACAAATCTGAGAGAGGGAAGGAGAGCGACACTGCAAATGTAAGAGAGCGCAAGGTGAGCAACGGGAGAGCGGCATAGCAAGTGAGAAAGAGAGCCGAAATATTACGAGCACATCTTCAACAAAAATTATAATGCAAAGCAAAACATTTTTCATCTTTCTTTCTTTTTTTTTTTTTGGCATGCAGGGTCAATTGGTGCTTAAAGAGTAACAAACTTCATACAAGAAAAAATTTAATCAAATAAAAGTAAACTTATGTGCTAAATACGTGTATCACTGACGCTTCCAGGCGCCCAGCAGATATCCACACTTGCCGCAAATCACCTTGCACTCGTCCTTGGAGCGACGCATGCAGCACGGATAAATGGGCAGCAAAGCGAAACAACTGAGGCAATAAATTCAAAAGGTAACAGTAAAAGTTAAGTGAACAGCAGACGATTTAGTTAGCTTACCACATGGTGAGTAAACGTTCCAATCGCACGCCCTGCTCATGCAGTCGCTCGTTGCACTCCGGACAGTACATTTGCCTCAAGCAGCTGATGTTGGTTGCAGATGGCGGCGGCGGCGATACCTTCTCTGCCAGCTGGCCAGTTGAATTGGATTTCTTGCAGAAGTAAAAGTCCGCCTCATCATCTGTGTCGCCATAGCCATAAGGATAGCCGCGATGCGTGGGGAGTGTTTTTGTTGTTCTCGGCTGCAGCAACTCGTCCAGCGCCTGCGCCGACTGTTGCTTAGTATACTTTCGATCGGCATTTAAATTGATCTCCACCAGATGGGATGGGCATGCCTCTATGGATGCTGGGTGTGGGAGGCTGAACCTCAGTTGCCGGCTCATGTTAGATGCGTACTGTGTTGCCTGTCGTGCGCAAGTGTTTCTTATTTGATTTTAATTTGGGTTAAAGTACCAAACGCGTTGAGAAACAGATGAAACGAAACACAATACAACCAAAAGCAAAAAACAATGAAACATTGGCTCAATGTTTGTCAAGTAATTTTTTGAAAAAACCAGTTGTCTGTATTTTGCGGCTACTATTTTCATATTTATTATATTTCTTTGTATTTAGTTTTCTGCTCTTCGAACTATGTTTTCTCATATTTGCTTAACATTATTTTCATGGCTTCAAATGCTAACGTTTGAACTTGAAAGCGCCAAGGCAAAACGGCAAAAGCAAAAGCCACTGGAAAAGCTTTCACCAGGCAGCCAAAAAGCTCTCGCGTGGGTGAAAAAATAAATAACAGCTTAACATGTATTGTAGTCAACTGCAGTTGCGCGTAGGCTGTGTGTATTTATACGTGAGAGTGCGAGTAGTATGCCTAAGCTTTGGTATGTGCTGCATAGCGGCTCTCTGGGAGCACAGAGTGCTCGCTCTTCGATCCCTGCCTGTTGTTGTTGTTTACAGATGAACTGATTTGCAAAACAAACAACCGTTTGGACTATTAGAGAATGCTTGAAACTAGCATGTTTCCGAGGTGTTGTTGGTGCTTTTGATATTTTGTTTTCTTTCTCTTTTCCCAGCTCTGGCAAATCGTTTAAGTCTGTTTACATTATGCATTGAGCGTCTAGTGGTTTCTGTGGGCAAATTTGAAGACTAACATTTCTGTAGCTTGGTTGCTTGTTTAATTGCTGAAAAGTTGGCATTACTATACTATACTAAAGTAATTAATTATATAATATAACAGAATATAAAAATCAATTAATTTAAATACAAAATCATTTTAATCATTTTGTCCAACATTTAAAAACTAGTATATTGGTTTGTCATACGCTTGTTTAGTTTTACAAGTGTCAAGATTAGATAATAAGTATTTTTAATATTCGAAAAAGTGTATTGTATATTGCAGATTTATAAGTCTCAAGATTAGATAATAACAAAAAAAAAATAAATAAAATTGCTGTTTAAAAATAATTATAATACGTAATGTCATCGTATATTTTATACGGTTAATAGGCCGATATCCCATAGCCAATCTATAAATATGATTGGCTCCACCTTCAGCTCACTCTACAAACAGTGCATGCATCAGTTGTGTAGCTTTCGCATATTCAAATTTCCATATCAATATTTACATGTACATACATACGTTGTGAAATACTCAATATGAGTCTCATTGAACTCGAGCAATGTGTTATACTAAAGACGTCACAGCCCCTGTGAGTCACAGAATTTACATACAACATACATATACAAAACTGTGAGCTGATCTCTTTATAAATATATTTTATTTCAGAGCATAATAAACTGTGATGAGCGGAAACAAGCTAACAAACAGCCAAAAACTCACTAAGCCTAATTGCTTGCACAAAAGTTTGCTCGAGCCTAATCGCTAAGCAGCACCAACAATAACAACAACAACAACAGCAGCAGCAGCAGCAGTAGCTGATAAGATACGCACGAATTGGCTTGAATAGGGCAGCCAGATATGGCAAAAGTAAAGTAAAGTCAAGTATAGTTAACAGCCAATTCAGTCGAACGACAGCTAGCAAGCCGTGCAGTCGCGCTGCACAAGGAGAGTGGAATACACACAGAGAGAACGAGAAAGGCGGAGAGAGAAAGAGAGTTACAGATTTATTCAGCAATGGAGAGCAAACAGCCACCGCCATACAGCGCAGTGCCGCCACCGCAGCCTGGCTTTACGCCCGCACAGACCTATCAGCCATATCCGGGCGGACCGACACAGCCGCCACTGTATCCACCTATGCCCCAGCCGCCCCAGCAATCCACCGTGATCATACAGACAACAACCACATCCAATTTGGTGCCCATTGGCAGTGGACCGACACGCATACGTTGCCCCTCCTGCCATGCTGAGGTGGTGACAACTGTTAAGAGCACACCCTCTGGCCGAACACATTGCTGGGCATTGATACTCTGCCTGTTCATGTAAGTTGAGATCCATACGTGTGCACGCGTGTGTGTGTGTGTGTAAGTGTGGTGATTCAGCTACAGATGCAAGTGATATTCGCTTCAAAACAAAATATGCCAGACAGAGTGCTTATCGAAATGTGTGCAGAGAGAGCGAGAGAGAAAGAGAGGCGAATGCGTGTGAGAGCAAGTGCGTAGAGAGAGTGTAGAGTTTACATTGTAGACATATGTATGTATGTGTATGTGTGTATTTGCGTAGATTTACTATCTCAGCTAAAGTTTAGATAGATAAAACATAATAACAAATATGATCAACTAAGTGAAAAGCGAAAATGATTTTATGTTAATAAAATAATTTCATATAATATAATATAGTGTTAGAGCAATGTATGTACATATATTAATAATTTCTGCTCTTCTTCTTCTTCCAGCTGCTGGCCCTGTGTCTGTTTGCCCTACTGCATGGACTCCTGTCAGAATGCCAATCACTATTGCCCCAATTGTAGCGCCTACATAGGAACCTACGAGAACTAAGCACGAAAAAAGACCGATAAATTCGCACACACATGCATACATACGCATATACATGCATACATATGTATATACATATACACGTGTATAAATTGCATTATCTAATTAAGCCTATAGATCTTTACTCTCTGAATGAATTACTATATTAATCATACCTACATTGTTTTATATATGAAGTAGAGCAGGTAAATTATTACGTATACGCCACGTTGTTCTATTTTAATTTCATTCTCAATTGATTTAATTATATGTATATATTTTTTTGTTATGAGCGCTTCTCTTGTTATTCTCAGTTTATAATAAAATGAATAAGTAAATAAAATGCTGTAAACGATAATTATCGGTTTTAATAATCGATTTTTTGTGTTTTCGTTTTTTAGTCGCGGCACATGATATTCTTATCTTCTTTTCTAGGCTGGCAGATTGTTTTATACTTGGAAAAATATTCTTGGAATGATAAGAAAGTAAATATGTAGGAAACAGCAACAGTTGCACAGGCATGATAGGCCATGGGATACCCTGTATTTCATACACAGATGGGTAATAGGCATTTATTTAATCATAAAGACGTACCGTATCAATTGTTGCATGAAATCAACAATGTATCTTAGATAACTGAGCAGAAATGAAAACCCATATTTCATTCAGTAAATTCCTGAATACTTCGCCTATAAATTTTAATCCGATAGCGAGTTTATTTGCACTTCTTTAAGATGAGTCAACTCTAAACGCCGAAGTGTAAATTGTTTTATAGACCACTTGAGGGCATGAGTCATGCAAGCACTTTACCATCCTTAGCTCTATGATGAGTATATATGGAATACATATACAGTCATATGTGTACATATGGGCAATGCGCTAAGCTTGGACAGCTAATCAGCCAAGTAATAAAACAAAAACTCCCACTTTCTGTTTTTTTTTAGCAATCTCTCTCTCTCTCTCGTTCTTTGTAACTCTCGTTGTCTGCCTTTTGTTATCAGCTATGGCTACGACTGGTTAGATAAGCGTATATCATATCGAAATGTAGCTTCGGTAGCTTCACTATATATGCCTCAGTTATTGAGATATCATCGAACAGTTCACGTCGACCGTTGAAAAGTTGTTGAGGCCCCAAACATGAGTCAAGGATATACGCCCGCCCAGACCTACCAGCCCGGTGCACCACAGGTGATCATACAGACGACGACAACGACGAATGTGGTGCCCATCGGCAGCGAGCCGTCCCGAGTTCAGTGTCCTTCCTGCCACGCTGATATCCTGACAACGGTGAAGCACACCCCGACCGGACGCACGCACTGCTGGGCCCTGATCCTGTGCCTTTTCCTGTGAGTTGAGCGCACAACAAATGAATCAAGTTCACCCATTGAATCACCCATGAGTGATTCATTGCCGGCACAATCAGTGAACATGCTTTCCATGCTCTCAATTGTTTTTGTGCTTTTTGTTTCTAATGGCATTCTTATCGCTGATTTTGTTTCTTTTGCACTCGCTCTGCCCTTTGCAGCTGCTGGCCCTGCGTGTGTGTGCCCTACTGCATGGACTCCTGCCAGAACGCGGAGCACTCGTGCCCCAACTGCGGCGCCTACATTGGCACCTACGAGCAATAAAGTATTAACTAACTATAAGCAACGACTTGTCTAATTAATATGCTAAGCTAAACGATTTTAAATAAAAGCCACCAATCGATCATCATCAAGTGAATCAAGGATATATTATATCTATACTCTTTTAAATATACCTATATACAATATAGATGATTTGTTAATAACTATAAGCTCTAACTAGTTTTCCGCTATTTATGCTCTCATAGACCCAACTTCTTCAGTTGCTTCTCTCTGCACTTGATTTGAGATTCCCTAAATGCTTTGCTGAGTCAACTTTGATTGTGACTATAAATAGAGGGTAGAATGCAGTCACTTTCTATTGAGTACTTTCAAGTTTCTAGTTAAAAATTCCTCAAGTAAATCCAAGAACAGCTTATCGGAATTGGCATTTTATATTGTATAGAACATTTGTATATGGGCAATTCTCCAGAGAGGCCAACCACAGCCAAATATGCAAAGTCAATGAAAGCAAGTTCTGCTAAGTTATTTTTTTTATAATTAGTCTCTCAATCTCTCGCTCTTGCACTCTCTATCTCTCTCTCTCTCTCTCTCTCTCGCTCTTGCACTCTCTATCTCTCTCTCTCTCTCTCTCTCTCTCTCTCTCTCTCTCTCTCTCTCTCTCTATCTCTCTCTCTCTCTCTCTCTTTCTCTCTCTCTCTCTCTCATTCTAACATTCTCACATTCTCAGTAAATGATGCATACAAAATTTTACCGTAATATTGCATTCCGTATTATCTAAATACCAAATACCTATAGAACTAACCACTTCACACTAATTATTGCCCGTTTGTCATGTTTCAACGGTATAACGGGTGTACCCGCCCACCCATTTTAACCCTAAAAATCCCCCGATTCCAAGAGCTAAAGTCGTGCTAAATCTAATCTAGTGTAGCCTTGGCTGATAATTTCGATATCAGTTCGACACTTTGGCACATTATCAACGCTTACACGCAGCGAGGCTAAATCAGTAAACCAATAAACGCCAAGCTAAATGGTCGAAAGCACGAATTTATAAAAAAGAAAACATATATATATACATACATATATAGTAATAATTGGATTAAGATGGAAAAACAGGATCCGCCGCCATACACTGAACAGCCAATGCCTCAGCTGCCATCGCAATCACCTCCACCACCTCAACCACCGCTGCCACCTCAGCCATCGCAGCCACAGGTGGACGCAGTGCCTACTGCTGTGCCGCCACAGGCAACGCCTCAGGCGCAAATCCGTTATGTGCCCGCCCAAACCTATCAGCCGTATCCGGCTGGACCCACACAGCCGCCCCTATATCCGCCCATGCAACAGCCGCCGGGCAGCTCCACGGTCGTCATCCACACAACAATACCACAGCGCGTGCCCGTGGGCCGAGATCCAACCTTCGTGCGCTGTCCGACGTGCCAGAACGATGTGATTACCCGCATAGAGGCTACGCCTACGGGGCGAACGCATCTATGGGCAATGATTCTATGTCTAGTCGGGTGAGTTTGACAGCGCCCAGCCAAAAAAAAAGAAATGCTAATTGAGCTGGTTACACCTGTGCGCCTTATCAGTTATTTGTATTTATTCCCAAGCATATATTCAGTCTCTCTCTCTCTCTTCAGCTGCTGGCCCTGCGTCTGTGTGCCCTACTGCATGGACTCCTGCAAGCAGTCGAACCATTATTGCCCCGTCTGCAATGCCTTCATAGGCAGTCGAGCCGCATAGAACGGAACTGACCTAATCAAGTCACTAAAATAACTTAAAACTAAACGGGCTTTGATGATTAATAATACAACACAGCTAACTGCAGAAACAAACATGTTGAGCTGATAAGAATACTATTATCTAAAAATAAAAATAAATTCACTCAGCAATAAATGTATTTAATTTCGCCGCCTAAAAGTATGCAATCAACTATTTAACAGCATTTGCTTCATTCTCGCCTAAGCCTTTGTTCATCTGTAATTCAAATGGAAGTTAATTAAACTACTAATGTATAATAAATTATACATTATACAAAGCTAAGACCCCAATATATTTTGCCATTAAATAAACCTGTTAATTATCAGATAAATACATTTTCACTCTACTCACCACATATTTGTTTACTGGGTTATGTTCACAGATCTGCATGGATTTACAATTGTCAGTGTACAATTCCGTTTTGTGCAGCAAACGTTGGCATGACAGTCTAGTCATCTCGCTCCCACTGACAGCACAAACAAGGCTTCTGACAGAAGAAGCTCGGTTATTTTTCAGCGACGCTTATTCCGTTTTTTGTGCTCTTGCGAAGAAGTCGCCGGTCGCTTTATCTGCCACTCGCATATTTCCTGAATATTAAACAATAAAGAGAATAGAAATACATCAAGTAAATAGAGAGGTAATGATGATAATGTGTATGTAAATGTAAAAGTGCGCGAGGAGTTTAATTTGATATATGTATAAAGTACGCACATACATATGTATGTACATTTGGATATTTACATATTTAAGTGCACACATACATACATATGTATGTACATACGTACATACAGATATACCTACATATGTATGTATAAATATGTTCATGCTCTGGCATACATACATATGTAGGTATGTATGCACTACCATATGTATGTATGTATGTAAGTATTCTTATGAATGTATGTACATATATGTGTGAATGTGTGCACATACATACATATGTATGTATGTACATATTACGGTTCTTTCCCGTGCTATTTGAGTAGATGCGCAAAAACTGCAAATATGCTGTATTTGCAATAAATATTAAGACAAGTTTCTTCGTTAGGCCATGGAGTACAGCAAATTGCCCCCGCAACCCCCACCGTATTCTCCAGAGCAGTACGGTGCTGGACCAAGTGCTCCACCAACTGAGCAAATTCATGCAGCGCTAGCGGCGCAGCCACCACGTCCGGATGTGCACGTGGTCAACACCAATCACGTAGTCGTTGACAGCTCTGGCCTGACGACCTGTCCCCGTTGTAACAAACGGATCATGTTACGCACGAAGCGTCATGCCACATGCACAACATACCTCTGGGCAGCAGTGCTCTGTCTCCTAGCGTGAGTGTGAAACTATTGTGAAACTTCCAATGAAAATCTAATTGCCAATTGCATTTTGCATTTTGCATTTTGCCTCCCTTTTCAGCTGCTGGCCATGTGTCTGCTTGCCCTGCTGCTGCGAGTGGGGATACCAGTCGAGCCCTGCCTGCCCCAAATGTAATGCTCGCTTCTAGAGTGCTCGCTTTTAAAGCGGATGCTCTCCGATAGCTACAAGCAGAGCTCAGTATCACATGCATATAACAAACATCTTATATATTCCTATACAATTCCAAAAATGCTCACATCAGCGCAAATACATACATACATATATTCCTGTATGTATAATGTACATATACGTATGTACATTCAACAACAATCAAATACCGACGCTTAGAGGTTCGCTTGGTTCCATTAGTATAAACAATAGCCATATCTGAATTTAATGTAAACAAACACTTTGCTGAAATATTTAACCTGTAAACAACTGTATACTTGATATATACATACATACATATTACTCAATAAACCGACTATTGAAAGTTGAACTTATCCAACATAAGTAGGAATGCCATCTAAAAAGTTGCTAAACTTTTGTTGCTGCAACATGCCCGCAACATTGTTGCCAACGTCCAACACTGGCACTGTGCTTTAAGTACTGTTAACATGGACTGTATTGCAGTTGAATTGGCACGATTTAGCATCGTAAATAATTTAAACGCCTGACATGTATCTATATACGTATGTGTATATATAAGAAAGCTTTAATTTAAGCACAGTTTTTAGTTATTAAGTCGCTTGCCGTTGGCTGCGCCTGCAAATGTATACAAGACCACTGTGCACAGCTGCGGCTTAACATGACAACAAACGGCTGCCCAAGCGACTTATCAGCGCTGCGAACTTCAAAACGATTTCGCTGCCACAGCGCGTAACAAGTTCGCGAAATTGAAGTTAAAGCTTAGTCTAGAAACAATCCAAAAAGGATATAAATATATAATTATATACATAACATATCTGTATATACATATAAGCAATGTGAGTAATACGAATTAGAAGATTGCTGCAAGCTAATCTAAGTTATTTAGCAAATTTTTTATTTAAAAATGTATAAATGTAATGAGAAGAGTTTTTATAAACGGGATGTGTGTGTATGTGTGTATGTATGAAATAACGAACTATTCACTAAAGATAGTTAACTTTCAGAACCAACCATATATCATCTAAATATTATATGGCCTGTCAAATCTAGATATTTATGAGCCAGTATTAAGAGGTCCGTTATGTTACAACATTCTTTATTTTCCTTTATGGTTAATCAAGCATAACGAAACGCGCCCAAAAACTACGAAGGACACGCCCTTGCCCAGTTGAGTAGGGTGGCTCTATTTTCAGGGGCTTGTTGCCAGAATTAGGTACATTGAAGTGTGAAGTTTATGTGCAGACACTTTGCTTGTCTCCTACGGGATATTCTCTGCCTTTGGGCAGCTCCTATGAATGACGACATCGTTACACTTTCGCTGACATCACTCCGTCGGGCTGGTCTTTAGGGCTTAATTTGCCTGCTGCATGCCAGTCCAATTAGCCGTTATCTGGGCTCAGACTAGTCATTAGAAGTCATGTGACTTGTGCACTTGTTTAAATTAGCCATTAGAAGTGATGTGAGAGTGCACATGTTGTTCTTTTTTTTTAATGGGTTTTCCAGATGTCAAAGCTGTGATTGCAATTGCAATGGAAATTGTCAATGCACGCGACTGGCCAAGTGTCGAGGTCAACCAACACCGGCTCCAAAATCAATAACTCCAACAGTTTCTCTTCTGGCCCACTCTCATTCATTAATTGTATATATTTCTCTATAGCAACATGTCCACACCTGTCGGATCGAAGCCATGCAGTCTGCTTTGCCCCAATTGCCATCAACAGGTGACCACGCGCACCGAGGCCAAGGCCTCAAATAAGACCCATATATTAGCCCTCATACTGGGCGCCCTCTGGTAAGGCATCATGCATATGTACATATATAGTTGGACTAACTAACTAAATAGCTGTTATTTAATTTGTGTTGCCTTGATTTCCTTGCAGCCTGTGGCCCTGCGCCGCCTGTTTGTACTGCACGGAGTGTGCGCGCAACACGGAGCACTACTGTCCCTCGTGCAACAACTACATTGGCAGCTACGAGCGTTGACATGATTCCAGATAGATCAGCTCTATATTGTATATATATACATATAGTGTATATATATATATATGCCGATTCGTATAGCAGCTGTGGGCTTTTAATGCAAACGACATGTTTTTCTCCATTATGCCATGTTTTTCAGCTGCATAGGGCACTGTTGCTACAGTGAAGCTTCGCTTAAGTGCACATTGCTTATGTATTCACTATTTGCTATACCAAAAATACCTCTAACTTAAATGTTGACTAACATAAATCGGAATTTAGCAAAGACTTTGCAGGAAACAGTTTTAGCATATATTTTTTCATTAAAAAAATATATAATATATATATAAACGCATTGAGCCTTTTCTTGAAATATAAAAGAGCGTACACTAAGGCTAAAAAAAAAAAAAATACAGTTACAGAAAAATAATGTAATTATACTGTGAAAGTGAAAAAGCATTGTTTCTAAATTTAAAAAAAAAAAATCAAAAAATTAAAATCAATCAAGAATTCGTTGGGAAAAAAAAAATAAACACTAAAACAAATGTTTCCAAAAAAAAATATATTATTAACTATTTATTGTAAATCATATCAAATATAGCCTGAAATTAATTTCAGAGAACTCTCTATTAGGAAAAATAGAATACATAAACGACACAAAGAAAATTTTTACAAAATTCAATGAAAAAAAAAATAATACACAAAATATATATTTATATATTTTTATTAAAGATATGTGAAATTTGTATAGGAAAAATAGCCCAAAAAAAAACTCTAAAAAACATGTTTAAAAGTATATTTTTAGCTAAAACAAATTGTATTTTTATAAAACTTATGTAGCCACGCCCACAAGAGTCTGTGGCAGAGCAGAAAACCAATGTAACTGTCGGCAGCTCAATAAAGTTTTATTCTAGTCCGCTTCGCTTATAGCCAATCCTGACTGTTCAGCCTTACGGCTCTTAATGCAATTATCCTGATGTTAGTCGAATAGAATTTACCATTTGCTTTATTATGTGTTTTATGCCTTCTCGCCAAATAAACAAATGTCGAATAATAATGTGTGAATTATTTCTTAATGGGTGCCGTTAGGCGTTAATTGCGCATACGCAGCGTATGCCAAGTGCCAAGTCCTTGGCTATAAAAGGCCGTTGAGAGGCTTGCGATGCTCATCAAAGAGTTTAACATGGACGTGGATCTGAAGCCGCTGGGCCTTAGCTATATGGCAAGTGCTCCAGGTGCACCAGCTCCTGCTGCTGCTGCTCCTGCTCCTGCTGCTGCTGCTGCTCCGGCCACAGTGCTGTTGGTGAATGCAGCAGGTAAGTGATGAGTGTCCAGGTGAAGCAGCTGAAACTCTTATCAATTACTGCCAGGCGCAACACCGCTGGGACCCGAGCCACAGCGCATGACGTGCCCCAGTTGCCACAACGTGATGCAAACGCGCCTGGAGCTGCGCTCCAATAAAAACACGCATCTTATTGCACTCGTGCTCTGCGTAACCGGGTGAGTTACTTGATATACCTATACTATACTTGTATCTCATCTATATTTTGCCTTTCTCTTTCTTTCTCTTGCTAGCCTAATATGTTTGGTCCCCTTGCCCTACTGCCTCAAGAGCTGCCGCAGCCTTTATCATTATTGCAGCTGCTGCAATCAGTATTTGGGCAAAGCCGCCAACTAACTGTCAACCGTGCTAAGCCCTAATTAAATCAAATCAATTAAATGCGAAAAACAAGCTAAATTCGTGTTCAGTTTTTGATTGCTGATATGCTCAATTAACGAAGCCAGCTCAGGTGAACCACAAACAGAGAGTTGAAACACATCGAACTATAAATACATACACAAATAATACAAATAGTATTCATATATATTATAGTACACTTGAGTTGTCTAGGCAGAAGCAGAGCTCGGCTGGGGAACAGCGAGATATCAGCTTAATACGTTTCTTACGCTCACGCAGACAAAGATCTCAGTTACATTGCTCTATTATAAAGTTAACGGTAGAGTTTGAAATCACATCTTAAGTAAAATTTAAATAAACAAAAATAGTGGAGTAGTCGGGAGTAGCCGACTAGGAAATACCCAGACTGTCTAAGCTGTTCTTATGCTGTGCTAGGGATTCCTAGATTAAGAAATACTGAAATATCGAGAAACAGGCAATGATATAAGTTGTATACTGGGCATTATTAGGTCGTCTAATCATTCACATTTTCAACTAAATACGGGCTATACAAATGCTTACTGCAAGCCGAGCTTTTTTAATTGCGAATAAAATGATTCAATTCAAACTGAAATCCACTAAAATTAATTGAGTTAAACTCATTTAGTTTTGAGGTACAAAAAATGCTGTATTATTATCTAAAATTATACACATACAATTTTTATAAATACATACAAAATTATATGCATACATACAAAGTATTTATTAAACGGCCTTTATCTATATCTAATATTTTTATGAATGAAACGCTATTTTGAATAAATAAATTTGCATAGAAATCAAACGAAAAGTTTATTTTAATAAACTCGTTCTGTTTGAAGCTTCAATATACTATATATGTGCTTCAATTTAGAATTAAATAAAAGTGTATATAAATACATTCTATTTATATATTAATATTATTAATATAATTAAATTAGTAAAATTATAAAAATTATATGCATATAAAAAAGAATATATCTATATATATCACATTTTTCTATTATTATTATGATAGATTTTATATATGTAATTATTTTTTTCGGAGTACCAATATACCCATCTGCTGTTGCAGCCTATGTATGAGCTTACTCTTTAATTGATAACTGTGAGTCATAACCGTTATCCTTGCGTTACGGATACTTTCCGCTGATAGTTGGATATTAAGCAGGATAACGACTGCAAAATGGCTTTACATACACACACACTAGCACACACAGTGACACATAAACACACACACACACACACACACACAGAGACATCTGTCGACAGCGTAGGCAATGGCTGAGCAGCACGATGTCACGCTGTTCAGTTCTATAGCGAGCCGCAAGCGAAGCAGACCACAAAACGGAAGCGAACAAGTGAGCCAGTGAACCAGTGAACCAGTCAGAACCAGTCAACCAATTGAACTCGTTGACTACTAAGAACTTGTTGAGTCGCAATGACATCGAAACCGAATCTATATCCAACGCCGCCAGAGGCTCCGCCCCAATATGGGGACGTAAACGCACCGACGATGATACCAGCCGAATCGTTGCCGCCCTCCGTGATTAATGTGCAACAGCCCCAGGTCTATATGCAAGGTTAATCAAATGAACATCAATCATCAATTGAAATGAGCAATTAACTGTCAATGTGTTTGTTGTCCAACTCGCAATCAGGTGGAGCACAGAACAATTTGGGCCGAGTGCCAACGTTTGCTGTCTGCCCCTCGTGCCACGCCCGACAGCAGACGACGGTGAACCATGAGCCGAGCACCAAGACGCATCTATTGGCGCTACTCATTTGTCTAGTGGGGTGAGCATGGGCCAGAGATATCTCTCTCTCTCTCTCTCTCTCTCTTGCTCTCTGTCTCTATCTCTCTCTATATATATGTGTATATTCTTTAATAATATCCTTGCAGCGGCATCTGTTGCTGCTGTGTGCCCTACTGCGTGGACTCCTGCCAAAGCGCTGTGCACACCTGCTCCAGCTGTGGCGCCTTTATAGGCACCTATCAAAACTGATGCTTGGACAATGGATTACAAAAACAATAAAAAACCACTACAACAAACACAACGTATAAATGAAATGTTTAACTTTATGCGATTTTAAAAATTAACTTAAATAACAGATCCTATATGATATTATAAATATGAGCATGAATTTGTGATGTAATTGACATATAATAAAAACAATTAAACAGCTAATGAATATATATATTGCAGATTACTGAAATTAAAGCTGAGAAAAAGGAAATTCAAAATTGTTAAGGGTGGAGGTAAAGGAATAGCCGATCAAGAGATAATATTCTAAGCTACACACAGACAGTCGGACAGACGTAACGATTGATTTACTTGACTCCCTATCCCAATTCAAAATCCTATTTTGCGTTTTCCGCTTTCCTTTCATGACTCCATACACAAAGCGCTCCTTTTTAATAAGTTTAATCCATGAGCAACAGCGCTCATTACGCAGAAATGAATATGGGGTATTATAAGGCAGCTATGCAGCAATTATACAACTCATATATGTACACTTACGTTCCAGTAAATGAAGTGTGATAATATTAAAAGACTCAAACTATGGCAAGGCGCAACAGTATTGCCGAGAACAGCAGCCAAGGCAGAGCTGAAGCCACAAATATACGTAATACATATACATATATACATTTCAATATCCCTAAAGTTTTACGAAATGTCTGCCATCGGTCGGGTGTCCACGCGCATGGTCTGTCCCAATTGCCATTTGGATATGATGACGCGTATTGTGAGCAAGGCCACAGCTCGAACTCATATGATAGCGCTCCTCATGTGCCTGACGTTGTAAGTGGATGTAATTGAAAGCTTAGAGGGAATGCAGTGAAAGTATCATCTATTTATATGCTTGCAGCCTATGGCCCTGTGCACTCTGTGTCTACTGTACGGACTTTTCTCGCAACGTGGATCATTACTGCTCCTTCTGCAATGCCTTCATTGGCACCTACGATCACTGAGCTGGCATTAAACTATAGTATTTATATATATACAATATGTGTGCAGATATTTAATAACAATAAAACAAAGAAGTACCAAATTAATGCCTTTGAAAATATAGAAATCTATGATAATTTAATATAGTTAGGATGCATTATTATGCATTATTATGAAATGATTCGCAATCATTTATGAGTCATGAAAGCGGTGCATACAAAGTTTTCTACGCCCTGAACCTATTATAATACCCGATGAAAGCCCCGCTGGTGTAAAAGTCTCCATCACAAGAGTTGGCAACATGAATGTTCCAAACATGAGCTTTAGCAACATGCTGTTAGCTGGATACAACTTCAATAACAACAACAGTGACCGTTGGCAACATGAGCGTCGCACTGTGAACTTCAGAGCTGGCAACATGAGCTTCAGCAACATGCTGCTAGTGGGATACAGCTATGATAGTAAGAGGGAAGTTAAGATACCCGTTAGGAGCACGAGCATCGCCTACATGAGCTTTAGCAGCATGTTAGATGCATACAACTGTGATAGGAAAAAGAGCGCAGTTCAAATGAGCGCTGGCAAAATGAGCTTTGGCAACATAGCGCACCAGAATGTTGCGAACATACGTTTTGTTAACATGAGCGTTGTCTACATGAGCTTTGGCAACACGCAAGCTGGATACAAACTGAACTAGCAACAAATGAGTTGGAACTTTTGAACTGCGTCAATATTGTTGCGAGAGCGCAGCGCACAAGCAAATGAGTCTGGAATGAAAGCTGACTATCAATAGACCTGCGCACGGTTAAACGCATCATGCAAAAGCAATACGCGCAGAGTACGCCAGCGGCTGGAGGTGTCAACATGAACTATCAGTATGCACAGGCGCAGCCGGTGCCGCCCAGCTACGAGCAGGCAACACATTTCCAGGTGCCAACGGCCGCAAACGTGGTCATCATACAGCGTAAGTCTGGCACACGCACTTGATGACGGCTTCGCTGTTTGTTTGTTTTGCTTAATGCCCATGTGCAACACTTGCAGAACAAGCGCCGCCAGCTGTGGGACCCGATCCGTGCTACGTCTGTTGCCCCCATTGCCAGGTGCGGAGTCTCACGCGCATTGAGTATTCGCCCAGTGTGCGCACACATTGCATGGCCGCGTTGCTTTGCATAGTGGGGTAAGAGAAACAAACTGATTTAGCACCTATTTATCTACCTCTCTCTCTCTCTCTCTCTCTCTATCTTATCTTGTCTCCAAATTTTTAACTTATCTGTTATCGTGGCGCAGACTCTGGTGCTTCGCCTGTTTGCCCTACTGTGCCACGAGCTGCATGAATGCGAATCACTTCTGCGGCCATTGCAACAAATTCGTGGGCGTCTATAGCAGCGATTAAGGCCAAAATGCTAAACAATAAACGTAAACAATTTCTCCATACAAACGAAATGCGAACATTTTTTGTTAGGTGTTGAGTGATGCAAACAGAAGCGCACACACACACACACACTCATACAAACTCATGCACACACATACATATGTATATGAAACATGAAAAGCTACTCATTACCTGTAAGGTAAACAATCAGAGCAAAGCTTTCGGAAACCTACCACAGAAAGGTTTATTGTGATAAGAGCCAATCGGCTGCGTCGCGTTTTATGAAATTGACAGAAAATTTGTCATAGCTCAGTCATCGATACAGTCATTATGGAACGCGTCTATCCCAGACAGCCGCTGGAGCAGCCCAAAGATGTGAGTGGACTGGTGCAGGAGACGCATCCAGAGCACCAGAAACTGTTGGCACCGCCCACCTACGATCAGGCGACGGGCACAGCAACGGCCACGCCCGCATTGACAACGGGACCAGCACCCACGCCGGCACCGCCACCACCCACTG